AAAAAAAAAAAAAAAAACTAAATTAAAATCATAATCTGAGAGACAAATCCAATTTTTTGAGCTCCTCTTGATTATTACTACTATTATTATTATTAGCACTAATATTCTTCAAACGGGACCCACTATCACACGACGATCTGAACAACCCTTCGCGTGCCCCGTCCGCAACCGCCACCGCCGGGAACCTCCAACCACCGCTCCCCGACGAAGCCTCCGGCACCTCCAGCCGACCCACCCCCGGCTGCTGATCCATGGCCTTCCTCGCCCAACCCGGATACCCGTACCCGACCGCCCCGTAATAGCCCGACGAAAAACCCGGCTTGTGGATCATTGAGTGGACCTGTATCCCTAGCGACCTGCTGGCCGCGAGGGACCCATGCAGCGGCAGGGACGCCATGCTCGGGAACCTCTGCTCGGCGGCGCCGCGCTGGCCCCGTCGGGCGATGGTCCGCTCGCGCTTGTGGGCGTTCTGGTGGCCTCCCAGCGCCTGGGAGCTGTAGAATTTGCGGTTGCAGTAGTTGCAAGAGAAGACGCGACTTTCGGAAACGTGATTCTCAATCTCGGTCGGTGGGGCTTTATTGGGATGGGCCGGATCCTGGGCCGACAGGGTCAGATCCAGCAGGATCGGCTCGTTTCGGTCTCGGCGGGCCGGTGAGTTCGTGCTCGAGTCGCTCTCCGGATGGTGATGATTGTTGCATGGCTGTAAAATTGGTGCTACTTCCATGTCTTGTTTATTTTTTGTTTTAGTTTTGAAAGTGAGGAGAGATTATTGTTGGTTATATAATACATAAGTGGTGATTGATTGGGGGGGATAATTATATAAATGCAGAGAGAAGGGGGGGCTAATTAATCTATGTATGGGAAGAGGATTAACAGTTACGAAGACCTAATCATGAAAATATATTATAGCTACTGACAAAGATACTATGAGGGTAGGGATTCAAAGTGGGTCCCACGGAACTTGGTCACAAAACTCTTTCCATTTTGCTAACAAGTTTATACTACTTTATATACTATCTTTAAAAGGAAAAAAATAAAAAAAATAAAAAAAAAATGTTTCTATACAAATGATTCGGACAACTATGCATTATTTAAATAAACTTACTAATAAGATCAATATAAGAAATTTCATTAAAAAAAATATACCTAATAACAAGAATCTTATTCAATTCAGATTATTGGACGTCATAAGTTCGATTAGCGATTTCATTCTGTTTCCATATTCTTTTCCTCCCCCAATAGCCGTTACAAATTAATATATGAGCATCGATTTTGAAATTTCGAAATTTAAAATTTGAGGGGATATAAAATCCTCATTCATCATTCATTTATTAAAAAAAAAAAANNNNTTAAAAAAAAAAAAAAAATCATTTACATTCTCTAATTAGTGAGGCATTGACTATATGTTTTATTTAAAAAAATAAAATAAAATTGCATATTATTATTATTATTATTATTATTATTATTATTATTATTATTATTATTATATGATAGCTATATATAAGGGGCCTCACGTTTGGACAAAGGTAGATAAAGATGGCGATATGATCCATGGATCACCATTCCTTTTCCTTTGTTGATGTAAATGGGGGAAAAATTCAAAATTAATCCCATAGGTATAGGGATGACAATTTTGGTCCCAACGGAATACAAAAAAATTAAATAGTCCCACAATTTTTAAAAAATGATCAAAAGTAGGATTTTTTGCCGGATTTTATTTTTTCTGGCCCGTAATGCCACGTGGCGCCCACGTGGCATATTTTGTTGCATATTTTATGCATACTTGTGGGACCAAAAATGTCACCTTCCTATACCTGTGGGACCAAAAATGTCACTTCCCTATACCTGTGGGACTAGTTTTGATTTTTTTCATATCCACGTCGGATGCCAGCGTGTAAAAAATATATGCCACGTATGCGCCACGTGGCATTCTGGGCCGAAAACAGTAAAATCTGGCAAAAAATCCTACTTTTGATCGTTTTTTAAAAGTTGTGGGACTATTTATATTTTTTGCATTCCGTTGGGACAAAAAATGTCACCTCCTATACCTGTGGGACTAGTTTTGAATTTTTTCCTGTAAATGGGTGTACCAAAGTTGTGTTTACAAAGTAATGAGAACTAAAACTAACAAGGGACAAACAAACATGTTGGCTGTAGTCTTTTCTTAGTTGACATTTGACAAATTATATATATATATATAAGCCCCAAAATTGTCTTTCCTAGCTATCTAAGCTTCCTTTTTTTTTTTAGAAAAATGGTTAATGGTAAATTGTGGCATTTTGGACATAGTGTAAAATCTTCAAAACAAGGTAGATAGAAATATGGAGGAGCGTGTGCTTTTGGGCAATTATATGAGTTTGACCATTGTTAGTTAATTATGTGCTGTCTACTTTAATATTATATAGCACCTCAAGCATAGAGAAGAAAATATAATAATTAGGGGTTCCTCGTTGCAAAATTGTGAGACCCTAAAGAAACGGATAATCACAAGAATTCCTCCTGCAAATGAGTTTCAATTATGTATCCAAATAAAAAAGTCACCTAAATTTTGTCAAAATTATTTTTTAACACGGCATAAAGTCGGGCAAATAGGGATGTCAATAAAACCCGTAGGGCCGGATTATCCTTATTTTTAGGTTAATTTGGGTAAATCTGAGATGATTGAGTTTCGTGTCAGGTTTGGGTAGAATTATGCTACACGAACCAGAGTCGGGTCGGGAGCGAGTATAGTAGGAAAACTCATAACCCGATCCGATTATCCTACTTGTTTACCCGTAACAATTGAAATATATATATATACATAAATATAGATTATAACTTATTATAAATATAAAAATAGTATGTGTTGTTAATATTAAAGAATAAGTTGTGTGGTTCAGTCAATCGAATGAAAGAATGCTATGACAAAAGGTGTTGAGAGGAGAGGTTCGAGCCGGGAAAATGGGTTCTATTTAAAATTGCGACCGCGACGTCCACAAACTATTTCTCAAAAGGCCTTATTCAAACTAGGAAGCCATTTCTGTGGGCCATATAGAGTGACGAAAAGAGTGTGTGAGGTAAACATACAAGCTAGAATTGTCGACAGAATCCCAAATTCATCATCTGGTAGTTCACATTTCTCATTTAAAAAGGGCCTAAACAAACGGTCATAAGTACAAACAAGTTTATCAACGATATTCAGAAGGGGGATATCTTGGTACGACCAAGTCGTGCAAGGGACTATCGGAGAGTAAAAAGAGTAGGATGTTTCCGTTGGGATGTTCTAGTGAAGTGGGAGGACTTACGGGAAGACGAGGCAACTTAGAAGAAATTACAAGACATTCGCGTCAATTTCCGATTCTTATCCTTGAGGATAAGGACTTGCTTGAAGAGGAGGTGAATGATGCAAACGAAGATCGACTCCTCAAGGACGCATACAGCCGAGCCCGAAGTGCTCGTATAAAAAAGGCGCGCGTAACAGGCCCAACAGAGTCAGGCCCAAATTGGAAAGCCCAAGCACGTGAAACCCGACCGCGGCAGGCTCGAGCAACAGGCCCAAACACATTGACAAGGAATTTTCGTGATCATCCCAAAGGTCTTTGTCTGCTTTTTATCTACACTGTCACCTTGTAGCATTCTGCGTCATGTGTCTTTTCCTATTTGTGGAATAATGGAAGTGGTAAATTATTGTCCCATCATATCAGCAATTGCAAATTCTATGATATATTGAAGAGTCGAATAGCTCTTTGCCCGTGACGAAATTAATTATATAAACCGTGCAAAGAACAAAACAAAAACCTCTCTGTCCTATAAAAGTTACACTATAGAATAAATTGAAAAGTAAATTTGGATTTGATAGAAAGTAAGAGCTAGCAGCACCCATAATTAATATACGAACCAGGTTGTGTTATTGGACAATTTTAATTTGACTTTATTATAGGTCCATCCACGGTGGAAGGTGTAACATCGAACATAGACAAAATTAAACACTCGAGTAATATTATTCTTCATATCGGTTTTGCTATGAAGCCAACAATTGACTCCATAGTAGAACCAATCTTCTTGTTGGAATTTTAGAAACAAAGAGCTCATGATCAAGAGTGTAAAGAGAATTTCTTCATTCATCGTTTTCTGTTGATAAATTCAAAATTTTTGCAGAGAATATAATCGCGTCGTACATGGCGGCTGTAGCATAATGCTATATTTATACCTAAGAGAGAATATGGAATTATCTAGAATTCATAACCCTACTACAATTAATTCTGGACCACACATTGAATAGGATAAGAGGGAGTAGGGTAGTTTGTCTTCTTGTTGAGAGGCTCCACACTAGCATGCAAGGCACGTGCTGTTTTATCTGCATGGCAGTCCACTGTGCTTGCATGGAAGTCAACTAGTGAGCTTGCATGTCCTTTTATATGGCTAACAGCCCCCCTCAATTCATACTCGGGTTTGAGACAAATGCCTAGTTTGGATCGAAGACGAGTAAAGAATTGGCCGGACAAGGGTTTGGTAAATATATCTGCAACTTGCTCAATAGAGGGAATATGCTGAACTCTGATTGTGTGAGAGTTAACATGTTCCCTCACAAAGTGAAAATCAATACCTGCATGCTTAGTTTTAGAATGGAAAACGGGATTTGCAGATAGATGGCAAGCTCCTAGGTTATCAACCCAGATGACAGTAGGCTGTTGTAAAGGAAAGCCAAGTTCAGACAATAATCCTCTCAACCAAATGACATCACAAGTAGCTGCTGCTAAACTTCGAAATTCTGCTTCAGTACTTGATCTTGAAGCTGTGGTCTGCTTCTTGGCACTCCAAGTGATGAGGTTTGGACCTAGGAACACACAAGTTCCACTGGTGGATTTGCGGTCATCAAGGTCAGCAGCCCAGTCTGCATCAGCAAAACCAATGAGATGAAGAGGACCTCTTGAATTGCAGACCATAGTTGATTGTTCCAGCAAGGTACCTTAGAATCCTTTTCAAGGCTTTCCAATGAGTGTGAAGAGGACTTTGCATATATTGGCTGATCTTGTTGACACTATAGGATATTTCAGGCCTGCTGATTGTAGTGTATTGGAGGGCACCAACAACACTCCTAAATAAGGTTGCATTTTCCATTGGCTGCCCATCATGCTTGGACAAGGGAGGATGAGAAATCATGGGTTAACTGATGCCCTTGGCCTCCTGCATATTGAGACTTGATAAAATTTCAGAGATGTACTGTCCTTGACTCAAAACAAGGCCTTGCTCATTATATGTGACTTCTATACCCAAGAAATGAGTCAATCTGCCAAGGTCCTTAATAGAAAAGAACCTCTGAAATTCTTTAATGGTTTCTTGAATTTCCAAGTCATTGGAGCCTGTGATTATGATGTCATCAACATAGACTAGAATGAAGGTTGATGATTGGACTTGGTTTCTGAAAAACAATGAGGGAACAGATTTTGAGGCAACAAAATTCATAGCTTTAAGGGCTGTAGTGAGCTTTGAATTCCAAGCTCTTGAGGCCTGTTTTAATCCATAAATGGATTTGTTGAGCTTGCACACAAGAGAGAATCCTAAAGGAAAAGCCTTTTCAAATCCTGGTGGCTGATCCATGTAAATATCAACATCAAGCTCCCCATTAAGGAAAGCATTGTCAACATCCAAATGCTTTAATGTCCAAGAATGAGTAATTGCTATAGACAGAAGTAACCTGATTGTGGCTGGTTTCACAACTGGGCTAAAAGTGTCACCATAATC